ATACTTAATTTTATTATTATTACTATTTCTTCCAGAAAGTTGGGTAGTCTTATCCAGGATGATATTTTGTAAGATAATGTTTGTAAAATTTATGTGTACATACTTTGAAAACTAAAAATGCTAATGAATTATTATTTTTATTTTTATACAGAATTGTGCAAATGTTATGGATAGATTAATAAATTAACATTTATTAGATTCAGTCATGAGTGTAATTTTCCTACTGTAGATTCTATTCTTAAAAAGTTCCTGTAATTGACATTGATTCCCAATAATTGCACAAAATGTACATGTTGTTCTCCCAGTAAGAATACCATCTAGAGTCTGTTTGACCTGAGGCACTGGGATAATTCACATGAATAAATACTTAAGTGATTTATTGCTATCCTGGTGGTCTCCCATCCAAGAACCAAACCATCCAAATTGTTTAATTTTGTCAAGGTCAGTTAGCTGTACCATGTGCCATAGCCTACCATTTGTATGCTTCTGGATTAAGGCGAACAACAAAACTTGCACTGATTGTCTTGTTACATTATAGACCACCAGTTTGTTCCCGGTCTACTTGCAGAAGGCAAAATTGTAAAAATGGGTGAGTTGTGAAAGAGGAAAAGCTCCCTCTGTACAGTTTTGTCCCCAGATTAGTATTTTCCATAAAGGAAGGAAGCATTTGTTTTTGTTTTGCTCTGCAAGGAGGAAGTGTTATTCTGTACAGGAGAATGCAGGAAATAATAATTCCCCATCATTTGCACTTCACGCATAAAGAATGAGATGGGTGAAAACAAATTTGAAGTCACAGTCCAACTCATACTTCTAAAGATCTGGAGATCACCCCTCTCAAGGGTTTGCTGTACCAGATTCATGCAGTTGGAAACTGTCTACTTCTTGTTGCATCTGAACAGGGGCCTTAGTATTACATAACAGTCCTTTGTATATCTCTGTCTCTGTCTCTGACACTCTCTCTTTGTAAGAATGTTTACCTTCCTCTTCACCCAGATTCCCAATGCAGCTAAGAAATATAAAAGGAGCAACAAGATCTTCTCTCAGAGACAAGCTTCTGGCATCACCATTTGGCTTGCTAATTAACACACATTATGCCAGAAATGTACAGGATTTGCTTTTAATCTGAATGTTACCTTTTTCCTAATTAGTTTGGTTAGCTTATAGCATTTGATTTAGTAGTATCTACATTATATATATAAACCATCATATTTAAGGTATGCAACTCTCCTAGTTAATAATTATTTAGTTTTTTTGCAAACGTGTACTGCCTCTGGTTGTCTGAAAATTTGTATGTTATGTAGGTGATCATGCATATGCATAGTCTTTCTGAACACATGAAAACAAAAAATAGTACATAACAATGTTGATGCTTAGCAGTGATTTAAGTTTAATTAATTATAAATCCATTTCAGACAAAGCCCATTCTTTATTTGTGGAATTGCTCAACGGCATCAGCTAAAGACATGGAGTTGAATATAATAGTTAACAATTGACATCAGAGGAAATGAGAAATTAGTATGTCCAGTGAAAAACTAGAGAACAAAACAGAGCTTGGTCATTTGATTTGAGTTAGTTTCCCAAAAGACATACCTTTCTTAAAGTGGCACTGAAAAGAGCCAGTGGAACGTTTTTTTTAATTGGATAATTGCTCAACATCATATTGCACTGCTCAATACATGAAATTCTTCACCTAAATGAAAGCTGAAAGCTGAAAATCTGAAAAAAATGCAATTTTATTGTGTGCCTCAAATAGTAACTAGCAGACGATAACTAAGTAACTGACAGAAGTAATTAACTTCCTAGTAACTAACAGAAGACAACTAAGTCTATTAAACTATATAAAACCCTTGATTTATGATCACAGCTGAATCCAAAATTTCGATTGCTAAGCAAGGCACTTGTTAAGTGAGTTCCGCTCCTTTTGACAACCTTTTTTGCCATGATTGTTAAGTGAATCACTGCATTTGGTAAGTGAATCACATGGTCATTAAGCAAATCTGGCTTTCCCCATTGGCTTGATGGGAAGGTTACAAACGGTAAACACATGACTCTGCGACAGTGCATCTGTCAGTTGTCAAGTGCCCAAATGATCACCGAGATGTTGCAACAGTCATAAGTATGAAAACCAGTCATAAATCAGTTTTTTTCAGTGATGTTGTAATTTCAAATGGTCACAAATGGTTGTAAGTTGAAGACTATATATTTATAGTCTCTAGAGCAAGGTATCAGTTTTGGGCTGTATGGTGTTACGGTATTGGCCTTCATTTATAATGTATCGATATAGTATTTGTGCATATTCAAGGAGTGTGGTCTTTTGTTATTGATAGATGGAATTTTTTGTCAATGCACAGATTTTGTAGTCCAAGGCTTTTTGGTATGGTACTCAGAGTACTGATAACCACGGGGACATCCAGATTTAGTCACAGTTTTGTTCCATATAGCATCAACCTTGTGAACTCTTAAGTTTCCTCATTCTGCTATATATTCAAAATGGACAGTGATTAATATTTATATGTATGTGTGTATGTGTGTGTGTGTGTGTGTGTGTGTGTGTGTGTGAGTAGATATATACTTTCTTTTGAGAGCAGGCAACAGAATTTAATTTCAGAATGTAGGCCAGTGTGCTCACAGTAAAAATGGCAATAAAGGTTATCTTAATTCCAAAGTGAAATTAAAACAGCTGTGGTGGTGCATGGTTAGAATGCAGTACTGCAGGCTACTTCTGCTGACTGCCGGCTGCCAGCAGTTCAATTCGTTGTGGCTCAAGATTGACTCAGCCTTCCAATCTTCCGAGGTCGGTAAAATGAGGACCCAGATTGTTGGGGGCAATATGCTGACTCTGCAAACTGCTTAGAGAGAGCTGTAAAGTACTGTGAAGCATATATAAGTCGTAAGTGCTATTGCTATTGCTATAATAGCGTTAGCTATTGATGTAAAACTTAAGCTCAAGCACCCTTCCCCCAATAATATATGACATCTATATGAAAGGACCCCTTGATATTGAAAACTGGCAGTGTTCCTCAGTGGAAAGCTTTGGAAACCATGATTGTTTCCTGTCATTTCATAATCATAGCCAAATCTGTCTTCTGGTAACCTTGATAGCTTCTTCTGTCTCCTGGCAGTATATTTTAATGTCTTGGTTATTGAATATAATTATTATGATGGGGAATACAGTTTTTTGTAATGCAAATAATGAATTTAAAATCTTGTTTTCTTTTTCTGTAACATTGAGGAACAATTATAGATTGGAGCATGCTGTTAACAGCATAGCAATGTAGCATAAAATCCCTTAAATTACAGGTAGCAGCTATATAGTCTAGGTAGACATTGATTTCATTGTACCTGCAAATCATTCAGGAGACATTAAACCACATAATCAAAATGGAGCAGTACACCGCACAAAGTTGTATCTTTGATATAAATAATCCATTACATTTAAAATTGTCCTCAAATATTTCTGGTTTCAGGGACTAGAAATCAGTTATTACTAATGGTGTTAATTTCATGGCATAATAGATATATTTTTCAGCATAGAAGAACTCTCAACCAATTTGACTTTTTTTAATGAAAGCTTAAGTTGATTTTTGGAAGTTATTCTTTTGGCTTGGTTCTGTTGATGACTTTAAATTAATCTTCAATAAAAGAGAGATATGAAAGCAAAATTAGTCTGTGTTAATAATGGGAGATGGCTGAAACTTTCATCTATTATACAATGGCTTTGGAGATGAGAAATTTAATACTGTACTTCTGTAGAAGCAAAATAATTTCATTTGTTAATGTGGAATTTTTAACTAACGTGGTATCTTCAAAGAAGTCTCAAGTAATATTAAATTGCACATGGGATGATTTTCCTCTTGCTTGTTATCCTCCTGGATGAGGATATTACTCATTAGTATTAGTATTCTCATCCAGGTGCTTCCCAGGGATGTTTGGGATTACAATTCCTGATTTTTCATGCCATCATAATTTTACAGTATAGTCTGTAGGTATAGTGAGGTTTGGTCTCAACACATTTGGACACTTAAGGAATGGTGTTGATAGGTCTGTGTGATTGGAAATATTATTCATTGCACAGTTGCTGCATTGATCTATGACAGATCTTGGATTTGGATATATGGAATCAGGTAATTTAGGGGCTATCAACACTGATTGACTGGACCTATTTATTCTGTACTTCATAGTTTATGTGGAAATATATATTTGAATATCTCAAGTTTGATAGGTCTTTTTTAATCATGTGTCACAATGTATTCTACTTGGTTTGCAAACTTAAAATACACAGTTCTTTTTCTAGCTAGTACTAATTCCTCCATTGCTGTTCTGCATTGCAAGAACATCCAGGATTGACTTGGATGAGGATATTACTGACTTGGCGATACAGATTTTTTATCTGTTTCTACTGAAGTTTCAAAAAAGATGGTCACTTTTAAACAGATACTGAATAGAAAGGAAAATTCAAAACATCTCTCCTTGATTTTCCTTGATCCAAAGTAGCCACCTTCTACAGTGCATTTTTTTAAACGTGTGTGTCTCATGTGACATTTGGTATCTTGGCTGGTCCATACAATTAGAATTAACTGATAGTTTAACCACCCTAATTATATTCAGCAATATATTTCAGTTCACTGAAAGCTGTTTGTTATCAGACATGTCCTAATGAAAGCGGTGGTGAATTTTGAATAATGCCCATTCTCCTAGTAGTCCTTGCATATCTGATTGGAGCAATGGGGAAAATGGTGCTGAGAGTTCCAGAGGGAAGACATAATCAGCAAAACATCACCTTCCATTAGTAGAGGTTTCTGCCAGAACAAAGACCTTCCACAAGCAGAACAATTCTTTTTGTTCCTAAGAGTAAACACAATCTCATGTCTACAGCTGGAGAAACAATTGGACAGTGAAGTGTTTTCTGTAAGTCGAGTTGGAAATCTGAGAAGGCTCTATACAGAAGAGGAAAAGTTACAGTGGGTAATAACTAACTTTTTTCATCTTGCTTTGGGCAGATCCATGTTTATATATTCCTCGTTTTGCACACATGCTCGAGTTTGGTGATAAGAACCATGAAGTCTCCATGACAGCCTTAAGGCTCCTGCAGCAGATGAAGAGAGACTGGATGCATACAGGTCGACGGCCATCAGGGCTTTGTGGTGCAGGTATTGCAGAACTGATGAATTGGAGTGTGTGGGGTGGCAACAGCTAGTGGCAAAGAAATGTGTTACGTATATTTCATTTTGTAAGAAGCAGTTGCATATGTTCACTCTTAGAATGTTGTGTTTTTAGGCGACTCTGTACATATAAATTTAATGTCAGGATGAATCAAGTTAGATACAAACTTTAAGAACTAATCTAATCCTTGGCCATAAACCAGAGTATCACGGAGGTCATATTATTCCACAAGCAGAAAGTGCAGATTATCTATAAGGCATTGTATAAAAGTTGTATAAAAAAACATGAAAACAGTGGATTACGCTGAAAAAAAGTCTTATGGTTTAACTGAATAACTGATAGTTTAACAATCCTAATTATATTCAGCAGTATCTTGGTAGAGTCCAGTAATAAACAAATATATTAAGGCTGTGTGCCTTAATTTATTTATTAAATTTGTTTGCTGCCCATTTTGCCATGATCAGAACAAATTGGTCAAGCTATAGTTCTTTCATGGCCTATATATAAGAACCTTTTAGAACCAAAGTATATACTACAGACAGATGCATGGGACAAAACCCTAAGATGCAAGAGCTATTTTTGCTTTCTCTCATGTCCTGGAGAGGCAAATATGTTTGAAACAAAAAAGGGAAAAATGACTTACAGAGGGCACTTGGAACACAGAAGCTATAAGTAGAAGAAGGATTGTGCTACGCTTCCATTTTTCTGCTATTTTTCATGTGACATCTTATTACAGTGGAGAGAAAGACTGGATCTATTGGATATCTCTGGAAGAACTGTTGAGAAACTTGTTAGATCAGACTTTTGTCCTTCAAACTGATTAGCACAACAGAGCACTTTAAGAGCTCACCCCTGATCCTACTTTGGCTCTTCTTCTCTCACTACCTCTTATTTCTTTGGATTATAAGCTCATGGATGGTGGTTCCATTATGTGTGATAAAGATATTAAATAAGCCATTACGGGTGGCCCCCGCTTATGACCGTTCATAAACTGCTTGAACCCTGCTAAAAAACATGGAACTAAAGCCTGTGTCTGAAGTTATAGCTGTTGCAGCACTCCCCCTCATGGTCACATGATCAAAATTTGGGCATGTGGCAGCCAGCCTGCATTTTTGACCATAGGGGTGTTGCAATTCCTCTCCCCTCCACCTGTCTCTCCTCCCCCCATTTATGCTTTTTTTGTCCCCCTGCTCTCTGTGCTCAGACGCTTCAGCTTATCTTTGCTCTTTCTTGCTCTCACTGCCAATGAGGCATTCCCGACCTGGTCTTTCATGCCAACAAGCCCCACTGCAAAGCCAGCAAAAGCAATCTGGTAAAAGCATACCCTTTTGCAGAAAGCCGGCGAAAGCAATGTGCCATGCTGCTGCGCTGGGCTTCCTGCTGTACCACAAAGAAGCAGAAGCAAGCAAGAAACAGTTATAGATCTGCAGCAGGCCAGGAAACCCACCCCAGCCCGACCCAGCAGCATGGTGCAAATGGGCTTGCTTTTGTCAACTGTGCATGAAGGGGCTTCCTTTGGCTGGCTTGCTTTTTCTGCCTGCGTGATAAGGGACAAGGTATTCTCGTCAGCCGCGAGAATAAGAAGATGGGGAAGATAAACTGGGGTGGTGAAGTGCAGAATGGTGAGAGTGCTGGGTGACTGCTGCTTGCTGTGCTGGTGATAGTCCCAGAGCCATGTGGGTCTGTGTTGGCTACTTGCTTTTCTTGAAAAGTAGGGTACGGGGTGGCCAAAAACCAGATATGGGGGGTGGGTGAGGAGATTTTGAGTTAGACCCTTCCCTTTTGAGGCTTGGAGCTGAGAGAGACCAAGTCCAGAATGGTTTAGATTAGGTTGGGTACTGCCTTAATGATCCATGAGTCTGTGAGTGCTAGGATTGCTGTCCTAAGTCACAGGATACAATCATGCTGACTTATGATGGCAATTTCAGTCCCAATTGTGGTAATAAGTCAAGGACTAACTGAACCGCTAAGAAGGGTGAGATAAAACTACTTTAAAATAGTATATTAAATAAACAATATATTTAGACTTCTGAATTTTAAAAGTGAAGAAGACAGTATTTAGTTAAACTACTGATAGTTTGAGCTAGAGAGAGGGGATGCCTAGCCATTTCTTTTCCTTTTTATTTCTTCCCAAGAAATTTTTTTTTTAGTTGGTAGCCACCAATTAATATTTCAATTGTGGCTTTCTTTCTGCCCCTAGTAGAAAATGAACAGAATTGTTGGGGATATAGCAATAGCAATAGCACTTGGAATTATATACTGTTTCATAGTGCTTTACAGCTTTCTCTAAGTGGTTTACAGCATATTGCTCCCAACAATCTGGGTCCTCATTTTACTGACCTCGGAAGGATGGAAGTCTGAGTCAACCTTGAGTCAGTCAGAATCAAACTCCTGGCAGTGAGCAGTCTAACCACTGTGCCACCACCGCTATTATGATCTTTTCTGTGTTGTGGAAAATATACATTAAGACATATCTCCCAACTTTAGCTTAAAAACACTGTTGAGGAGCTCTGAACCTTGAACTGAAATACTGAAAGCACTGAATGATGTTATGCAATTACTTTTTATTGAGATAATTTTACTATGTAAATACTGCATGGTAAAAATGGAACACATGTACAAGTTTTGAAATAATGTGGGGAAAAAGCAAACGCATGTGCTATTGTGGTGTTAGGACATTTCCCCCTAATTGTCTGTGCATGTTACATGTGTGTATGTGTGCAAGGAAGCAGTGAAATATTTTTTTGAGGTTGAATATTACGCCATACTGCTTTTTCTAAAGTTTGTTTGCGCTGATGTAATATTTCTGCATGCAAAGTAAATTTTATAAAATTCCAGTTTAATCTTTCTGAAGTCCATCAGTATTTTGAAATTAATATGAGAAATAGAATTTCCAATTCCACCTATATGATTTAATGTATTCCTTTGCTTCCCTCCATCCCGAATGCCTTTTTGATGTGATTCTCTTTTTTATGTTCTAGCTCTCCTTGTTGCAGCAAGAATGCATGATTTTCGGCGCACTGTTAAAGAAGTAATCAGAGTGGTTAAAGTTGGTGAATCAACATTAAGGAAAAGGTAAGTCAAGTTTGTAATTTGTTTTACATTTTACTTTAGCATCAGAGCATTTCTGAAATTTATTATTTGCTGTGTGGAAAATAGATGTTTTTCTGTAAAAGACATCTTTTACAAACAGAACCCCATCCTTTGATTAAACTGTATCTTATTTGGGGCCAAGGAAGTGTTCTTTCTTTGCCACAGGTTCCACCAGGATGGCCCTCTAGAAGACTCTTCTCTTAGGCTTTGGTTAGGCTGGTTGGAGGCTTTGCTGAGTGATGTGATATGTTTTACATGTTGACTGGATTTGCCATCTGCTTAGTGTTTTAGGTACATTTTAGGTTTACATTGTTTTATACTGTGAGCTGCTTAGAGTCAGTTTGGAGTTGGGCAGCATGTGAATGAAACAAACAAGCAAATAATAAAGTGTAGCAGATTTACATAAAATTTCTTTTTTCCATAATTTTTGTCAGAGTTACCTAGAATGTCATAATCAATGGGATGTGATCAATACTGCACATGACAGTCTAACTGGAGCTGAATCCAAATATTGACTGCAGAGGCAGTTCTTCTGCCTCATATTTTAGAAATTGGAGGAGCAGATGGATTTCAGAAGCTGAAGTTTCATTGAGGAGATAGTGTTGAAACGACAGTTAAACATAAACATTTATATTGGAACTGCAAGCAATTGGTTTGTGGAAGTGATGTGGGTCGTCCATGTTCCTTCTATGACTAATTTATGTTTCAATCCTAGGACATAACACTCTGATCTGTTATAGATAGGCTATTTCATTTCCTGTTAAAAGACTTCTTCCCAGTCATAGCTGTAATTAAAACTACAGAGCAGAAGCTTGGTAAATCCAATTTTATGGGTTTATATTGGCCCAAAGCTCAGTAATGAATGTATTTCTTTAGTCTTGTTCTGAATGCTTATGGGATCTACAAAAGATCACATCTTAAGAAAAAGATATTAATTCAGTTGCTCCAAACCAAAGGCCACATATATATCAGGTGCACCTGAACCTGCACGCTTTTCCATAAATTACTTCTGGAAATATTTTTTTTTGTATGTATAAAGTACCTGCCTATTTTGAAATAAATGGGGAATGACATCCTTCGGAAAAGGGAGCTTCGTGCAAAATCTTTGCAAAATACTAGTGGTTAGGACAGCTGTTTCAAATGTCATGGTTTCTACAGGGATATAAAGATTTAATAGCTTTATAATATTTTATTTTTAATTTTGTTTTTTATTATTTAAAGTAATAAATTGAACATAAATATTGGGAAACTTAGACTTTGGTGTTGTGGATTGTTTAAATAAAATTCATAGGACATATTTACTTTTTGCGGCTAGATAGAATGGAAGCTGATTCTCCATTCAGTTTGCTGAGGATAAAAGATTTCTACTAAACCCCAGTACTGTTTAATTTCAAGAGCACAGCTTATGCAAATGTATCAACTTTCTGAAATAATGTAATTTGGGTTTGTGTAATACAAGTATTCCGTGACTAAAAATTTCCTTTTGATGCTCCATATTTCAGATTGCAAGATAGTGATGTCAGGGTATTCTTATTGTTTTAGATATAAAATGTAGTTTCTTATTTTTTTCTTGTCAAACTTAATGATTTTGTAACACCAATTTTACTCTTTAATAATTTGCATTTACAGGGAACCCTAAGTTCCGTTGTAACAGAAAACTTCCTGTTTTTCTATTTACTAGAAAATAAAGAATTCCAGTGTTAGCCTATTTATTTTGAATTACTGTGTTTACAAAGTAAGTTTAAATTTTGCTTTAAATCATTGAAATTAATAGAAATAGTTTAACTGAATGATTGCTATTTATCAATATACTCCAATATTACTTTTGATAGTATTTTTTCTACTATTATAACTATAAGTCATAGCCTCACACAATGCAAAAATCACTGAGTTAAAATACATATTAAAAATAACAAATAAATAAATAAACAAATGTATAACATTTGTATAAATAAACTATGTAGGAGAAGATAAAAAGCCTATAATAAACATGGCCCAAGGATCACAAAATTTCTGAAGTAAACAAATCTGTAAAACATAACCCTCATTACTTACATAAATCAAAAAGTTGACATGGCTTTGAGCAGCTGCTCAAATAAAGACTGTCACAGCTGCAAAGGTCATCCTATTCTTAGGAAACAAATTTTCTAGGGGGTTGGTCAAGCCCATTTCCTTTTTTGATATCGGAGCTAAACGTTTTATAGTGGTTGCTAAAGAGGCATGATGAGCAAATAATGAGGAATATCACCTTTAATGTCCCATGCTATGAAAGCATAGGCAAAGGTTATAGGGAATTTGCCTTTAATTTTTATCCAGTATAGCTAAGGCACCTCCTATATTCTCTGCTTTATCATGTAACTCCTGTCAACTAATGGATCAAATAATTTCATTTAAACTTGTTCTTCATAGCACACCATTGAGCAGTCTTTTTTGATACATAAATTGAGGTGAATTGTTGCTCTAGGCATCTTGGATTTATATCTTTGTCTTACTGTAAAATGATGTACAATGTTTTGCATCCTGCATGTGTATCATTGATGGGATACAGGCAGTTGGAAGGTGACTTGCAGGTAGTCTCTGGATTTGAGGTCCTACCTTGCCTAGAATAATTGACATGCTTGGAATAAAACTTGACATTGATTGTTTTTGTGTCATACTAGCCAAAATGTGACAAAGCTGGCTGGTGTTGTCCTTACTATTGGCAAATAATGCTGCATTTGACATAGCTACTGTTGGTATTAGTACCTAGTTTATACCTTCTATATCATATTAAAATAATTTTGTGTGAAAGTGTCAATTGATCAAAGTCATGAAGGCAAACAGAGTTCTATATTTTGAGTCCATCTGATGATGACCACAATATATGCATATAGAAGATTGTGACTTAGAATGTAAGAGGAATATATGAAAAAGCATATGAATGATCAAAGGAAATACAAGAAATCAAAAATATTTGTTATGCATCTATGAAACCAAGAGAAAGGAGAAGGATGGAAAAAATATGAAATCCAAGTGATCTGATCTATGGCATGGAATTGATTCATACCTGAACGGAAGTGAAGGTATATATTTAATTATGAAGAAAAAGGCTAAAACATCTGTCAGAAAGAATGAATTTGGATCATCTAAGTTAATTCACATTAAAATAGGTGGCCAAAGGCTGGAGGTAGTTACACATTGTGCATTAGTGAATAGTGATAGTGTAATAATACGAGATGAGTCTGAGGGAGAACTGTGCAACTTTCTAATATATCATTCCGTCAAGGTTCTATTATTTCAGAACATTTCTGAAACATACTCTCATCAGTACTTATCTGGAGTCCTACAATTTACAATTTACTTTAAAGGTAGTCCTCCACTTACAATCATAATTGGGACCAGAATTTCAATCATAATTCATGGCAGTCATAAGTTGAGGAACTCATGTGACAACCTGATTTTATGATCATGTTTACAGTGGCGTAATGCAAATCTTGTGGTTGTAAGTCGAAATCCATTTACCCAAATAGGAATTTTTGGAGCTAGAAACCAGCTAGAAGCCGGTAGTATTGTCTTGCACCTGATTCATATATCCTAAGAGAACTTGCATCATCAGCTTGTGAAGATGGGGGACCATCAGTGGTTTTCAATTGATGCATCTGCATTACAGAACAGCCACTTCTGGAAATATGATCGGCCCCCATGCTACTAGTTTTTTGTAAGTGTTATTAAAAACTGAATTATTCTGGAGAGCCTTTGGAGCTTTAGGAGACCTGGATCCAACTAATTCTGCATCCTATTTCTCACAGTAGCTGGCTAGATATCTTTTGAAAACTCAGAATCAAGACAATAACTATCTCCCACTTCTTTATATTAATCTTGACTAGAAGCATGCTGCTTCTTGACTTATCAAGACTTACAGCCATCAGTAGACTGAAAGGCTTGTCATTCTAATTGAATGGTTTTTAGTTGATCAACCTCCTGATTTGTGGACTTATCCTCTATGAATTTATAAGCCTCAGAGCAAGTTAAAGCATAGTAAAAACTCTCTTTGAAAACCACCATTATAATTTATTTAAGCTTAAGACCTGCTGATTTAAGGCAGTAATAAAGCTTACAGCTAGTAAGATATTTTCCACAGTTCCAAATGATTCAGAAGGATTATTGGTATACAGTTTTCATTTTATTTGAGTGATAGCAAATGCATTGAATTGCAAAAGAAGCACATTCAGTTGAGCAGTTGTTTAAAATGAAGGAGCATGAGTACAAAATTTGTGCTTTGAAATGTTTACTCAGGTCTTGCACATCAACTAAATTGACAGTGTTATTTACTTTGACAAGGTAAACGTGACAGCTGAATTATTTTCCAGGATCTATAATTATAGCTGTATTTATCACAGATCCATAAAACATGATTGATGTTTCTCAAGTAACCTCACATTATATTGCATTTATAGAGGGCATATTCAAAACAAATCTTTCTCACTAAACTTCCCTGAGCTCAATATTTTTTTCTTGAGCTATTTAGATTCTTAAAATGTCATTAAGTAGAAGGTGGTTGAATTAATAAGTACTTGTTTCGTGTAGCTCTCTTAAATTGTGCAAGAATCTGTTTATGGAACTGAATGTCTTTGACAAGTTACCTGAGATTTTATCTGGGAAATTTCTGCATAGACTTCTCACTTGTTTTTCTCAGGATAGACTACCAGAGAGGAACTCTTGACAATAAGCTTTAAATTCAAAATCTCTAAATTCAGTAATTGGAATCTCTGTCTAAGGCAAAGAAGGGCCCCTGTTTGAACCAATACTCTTTTAGTTGGATCAGTGGCGTTACTCCATATACAGCAGCTTCCCACAGGCATATAAGAAATCTCTAGATACTGTGAAACTGGCTTACTTAGCAGAAAGCTGATACAATTAGTTTAGTTTCTTTCTTGCAGACAAGAATGAAACCACAAATAGATCTCCCTATCTTCCTACTTTGACTAGTGTCAAAGTTTGTT